TGCAGTCGGACATCCTTAGCACTGCTGAGGAGACAGGAGAGGCTCCCACCACCACAGCTGTACTGGCAGCCATCAGCCTGGCTTGTGGCTGAGCAGAGCTCCTCCCATGTGAGAGCCCCCTGACCACCAGAAGGCAGCTCCTGCATTGAGCATCTGCCCCCTGGTGGTCAGTGTGTGTCATAGTGACCAGTCATTCCCAGTTTTTCTGCTGTTAGGGTCAGTTTGCATACTACCCTTGTACTATATAGGATAGAGGCCTGGTGCACGGGTGGGCGCCGGCTGGTTTGCCCTGAAGGGTGTCCCGGATCAGGGTGGGGGTCCAGCTTGGGTGCCTGGCCAGCCTGGATGAGGGGATGATGGCTATTTGCAGCTGATCACACCCCCTTCAGGGTGGAGGTCCCCACTGGGGTGCCTGGCCAGTCTGGGTGAGGGGCTGAGGGCCGTTTTCATGCTGGCGAGCCACTGAAGCTCCCAACCTCTCCTTTTTTTCTTTTTTTTTATTCTGGGATTTATTTACCTTCTATGGCTGTCACTGGAGCTGAGAGCTGACTTTAGCTCTGAGGCCAGCTCCAGCTTGAGGCCTTGGCTGCTGAAAGCAGGTATCTGGGGTTTGTTTAGCTTCTATAATTGCAACGTTATTTCTTAGAGTGCAGCTCAGAGCCTGGCAGCGGCAGGCAGGAACCTTGGCTTCCTCCATCACTGGAGCAAGCAAACCTCCTGTTCGATTCAGCTGCCTGGCTGCCGGCCACCATCTTGGTTGGCAGTTAATTTGCATATTGCCCTGATTAGCCAATGGGAAGCATGTCAGAGGTATGGTTAATTACCCTATTTGTCTTTTATTAGATTAGATGAATCCTGATCTTATATAGCTGTTAATGATGGAAGAAAATGAAATTCAAATTTGATTCCTAATCTAACACATAAAAATTGGGATAAATCAATGTGATCTATGTGAAAAATAACTTAAATTCCTAGTCATACTTTTATAGCAAGAAGATAAAAGACAGGCTATTATCACCACATGCCTGGGAGTGGGTCAATGGAAGATTCCAGCAAGGCATTCCCTGAGTAGAAGGACAATGAACCATCCTTTGTTAAAGCCATTAGGAGGCTGTTAAGGTCTTCTGCCCATGGGTTAATGTGCCTAAACAAAGAATCCCTTAATACAACATACACAGTGGGTGACTTAGCATCTATCAACTGCCTACAGCAAGCCCCCTATGAGGGATGGAGCCAGCAACTAGAACATGTGTCCTGACCAGAAATGGAACTGGCAACCTTTCGGTGCAGAGGACAATGCCCAACCAACTGAGCCATCCCAGCCAGGGCTCTGTACTGATATTTAACTTCTAGAAATCCTTCCTAAGAAAATGATTCAACTAGAGAAAAAGTTATAGGCATAAATTTGTTCATCACAGCATTATTTATAATCACACAAAATTGTAAACAACCTAAATGCTCTATAATAATGGAATCATTAAGTAGATGATGGGCCATTCATTGAGGGAATTTTATTCTGCCTTTAAAAGTTATTATTAGCCCTGACCGGTTTGGCTCAGTGGATAGAGCATCGGCCTGCGGACTGAAGGGTCTCAGGTTCCATTCCAGTCAAGGGCATGTACCTTGGTTGTGGGCACATCCCCAGTAGGTGTGCAGGAGGCAGCTGATCGATGTTTCTCTCCCATCGATGTTTCTAGCTCTCTATCCCTCTCCCTTCCTCTCTGTAAAAAATCAAAAATATATATTTAAAAAATAAAAAAATAAAAATAAAAAGCGATATTAAAAAAAAAAAAAGTCACTATTAGCCTAGCTGGAGTGGCTGAGCTGGTGGAGCATAATCCGGTGCATGAAAAGTTGCCAGTTCAATCCATGTCTGGGCATATGCCCAGATTGCAGGCTCAATCCCCAGGTAGGTGGTGTGTAGGAAGCAGCCAATTGATGTTTCGCTCTCCCTCTCCATTCCTCCCTTTCTAAAATTCAATTTTAAAAAATGACCAATTTTATTACATACTAGAGACCCAATGTACGAAATTCATGCACTGGGGGGGGGGGAGGGTGTCCCCACAGCCCAGCCTGTGCCCTCTCACAGTCCGGGAGCCCTGCGATTGGTCACCCCAAAAAGGTAGGCCCCGCCCACCTGGCCAGGGCTCTTCAATGGATCACCCCCACAGAGGGGGGACCCACCCACCTGCTACAGCCCGCCAGTCGGTGGCCTGAGCCTTCCTCTGCAGGGCAATGGCCAGGCCCCCAACCAATCACATTGCACCCACCTTGGCTGGCCTGGCGCCAGTGGGTGTCATAGCATGGTTGTCCACAAGGTCGTTCGGCTGTCCGGTCTAATTAGCATATTATGCTTTTATTATTATAGATGTACATTTAGGGGTTCCATAAGAATATGAAATCCAGCCCTAGCCGGTTTGGCTCAGTGGATAGAGCTTCGGCCTGCGGACTAAAGGGTCCCAGGTTCGATTCCGGCCAAGGGTACATGCCCAGGTTGAGGGCTCGATCCCCAGTTGGGGGCATGCAGGAAGCAGTCAATCAATGATTCTCTCTCATCATTGATGTTTCTATCTCTCTCTCCCTCTTCCTTCCTCTCTGAAATTAATAAAGAAATATATATATAAAAAAAAAGAATATGAAATCCAAAGTCACATTGGGCAGTTGAGGCTAATATGCCATTCTAAACTAAGGAGAGGGAGGAAGGACTCTAGTATTTCAATAAGAACATATGCAATTTACAGGTAGATGAGAAAGAGCAAACATGTGGTAAACAAATTCTTGCTGGGTCACCCAGAAACAATAGGATACAGAGGAGAACCTAACATACAAGAGTTACTTGGATCCTCCCTGTCTGTCTGCCACACTTAATTCATATATGCTAAGGAAAACAACTAGCGAGAATAGCTCCCATCCATTAAGCAGGTCTTTTGATCTGAATGCCTTTAAACCAGTGGTTCTCAACCTTGGCTGCACATTAGAATCACCTGGGAATCTTTTCAAAATCCTGATTTCTGGGCCTCATCCTCCAGAAATTCTGTTTCTTTGTTATGGGGTGGGGTCACAACATTAGTAACAAAGATTCCCAGGTGATTCTAATGTGCAGCCAAGGTTGAGAACCACTGCTTTAGACAGATAAGTGGGAGGGTCAAAGGTTTGTGGGTTTTTTTTGTTTTTTTTTTAATTAAATCTTTATTGTTCAGATTATTACATTTGTTCCTCTTTTTTCCCCCCATAACTCCCCTCTTCCCAGTTCCCACCCCACCCTCCGCCCTCATTCCCCACCCACTGTCCTCATCCATAGGTGCACGATTTTTGTCCAGCCTCTCCCCGCATCTCCCTCACCCCTTTTCCCCCCAAGAATAGTCAGTCCATTCCCTTTCTATGTCCCTGATTCTATTATAATCACCAGTTCATTCTGTTCATCAGATTATTTATTCACTTGATTCTTAGATTCACTTGTTGATAGATGCATATTTGTTGTTCATAATTTGTATCTTTACCTTTTTCTTCTTCTTCCTCCTCTTAAAGGATACCTTTCAGCATTTCATATAATACTGGTTTGGTGGTGATGAACTCATTTAGCTTTTCCTTATCTGTGAAGTTCTTTATCTGACCTTCAATTCTGAATGATAGCTTTGCTGGATAAAGTAATCTTGGTTGTAGGTGCTTGGTATTCATCACTTTGAATATTTCTTGCCACTCCTTTCTGGCCTGCAAAGTTTCTGTTGAGAAATCAGCTGACAGTCATATGGGTATTCCCTTGTAGGTAACTAACTGACTTACTTTCTCTTGCTGCTTTTAAGATTCTCTCTTTGTCTTTTGCTCTTGGCATTTTAATTATGATGTGTCTTGGTGTGGTCCTGTTTGGATTCCTTTTGTTTGGGGTTCTCTGCGCTTCCTGGACTTGGAAGTCTATTTCTTTCACCAGGTAGGGGAAGTTTTCTGTCATTATTTCTTCAAATAGGTTTTCAATATCTTGCTCTCTCTCTTCTTCTGGCACCCCTATAATTCGGATGTTGGTATGCTTGAAGCTGTCCCAGAGGCTCCTTACACTATCTTCGTATTTTTGGATTCTTTTTTCATTTTGCTTTTCCGGTTGGGTGTTTTTTGCTTCTTCGCATTTCAAATCTTTGACTTGATTCTTGCGCTCCTCTGGTCTGCTGTTGGGAGTCTGTATAATATTCTTTATTTCAGTCAGTGTATGCTTAATTTCTAGTTGGTCCTTTATCACAACATCAAGGGTCTCATTAGATTTCTTGTACATCTCATTAAGTTTATCGGCAGTCTCTAGAAGACTCTTGAAAGACCTCAAAAGTGTGGTTTTGAATTCTATATCCAGCAGCCTGCTTTCCTCCAGTTCTGTCATTTGTGTTCTGTTTCTTTGTCTCGGCATTTTTTATGCTTCGCTGTGTCAATAGAGTGGCTTTCTGTGCTAAATGTCCCAATTACCTGAGTTAGACACTCTTGGTGCACCCCCCGTGGTCTTTGTGCTCAGTCTTGTTGTAGCTAAGCCTTGATTGTTGTAGGTAACACTGGGAGGGATTTGACCTCCAGGCCAACTGGCTGTGAGAATCAGCTGTGTCTGTAGTGGGAGAACTTCTGTCCTCTAGGGAGGTGCTAATCTAGCCTTTGCCTGAGGCTATCGCGCAAATGCCTCTGTGCAGGGCTTGGGCGGGGCAGAGCAGGTCCCAGGGGATCAACAGGGCGGGCGGAGCGAGCAGTTATGGCTGCTCTCAGTCCCGTCCCCAGAGGCTCTGCCTCTCAGTGTCCCAGCAACCACTGCAAACCTCGGAGAGAAAGCTGCCCTCAAGTTCCGACCGATGCCAGACAGTCCCACTTCTCCCGTTTGAGTCTGGGTCCCTAGAGACTCGCCCAGAACTGGAGCTCAGAGCCTGAGACTCCCTCCCGATTGAAACAGACAACCGCGCCCTCAGCCGCCAGCCTGCTCCGAGCACACCTCCGCACCTTAGTATTTCACTTCCACATTGCGCCTCCTCTGAGTCTCGGTATGCTTTTCTCTTTCCTTCTAGTTGTGGAATTACCACTCAGCCAGCCTTCCTGTGGTTCTGGGTGATGTCCATTCCGTCTTTTAGTTGTATTTTTGAAGTGGTTGTACGAGGCAGCACTCTCCGGTGCTTACCCATGCCACCATCTTGGTTTCTCCTGAGACTGTCAATCTTGATGGAAGTATATTTCTACTAATGCTTCTTGGGCCATTCGGTACCCGTGGCTGGAGTGTGGGAGAAGGTGCAGAATTGTGGAATCTGGGGAGAGAGGGGGATCCAGGAGAAGTGGCAGCGAGTTTAGTGCTGAGTCATGGGCAGCCATTTTGTCCTGACAAAGGTTTTTTTATGAATCTTTTGTTTCTTAAAAATAACCAGCTTAAAGTAATCGATATCCCAAAAGGACTATTTTGGGGTGGCAAACTCTGCTTTCCCTCATTAGGATAATATAATTAAGAGTATTTTTGCTTCCCTTTCTTTATTTTCCAAATTATTAATAATAAAGTTGCACTCTTTATAGTAAAAAAATTTTTATGTAATTAAAAATGTCATTAAATCCCAAGTGTGTCTAGAATCTAGAGCAGGGGTGGGCAAACTTTTTGACTCAAGGGCCACAATGGGTTCTTAAACTGGACCGGAGGGCCAGAACAAAAGCATGGATGGAGTGTTTCTGTGAACTAATATAAATTCAAAGTAAACATCATTACATAAAAGGGTATGGTCTTTTTTTTTTTTTAGTTTTATTCATTTCAAACGGGCCAGATCCGGCCCGCAGGCCGTAGTTTGCCCACGGCTGATCTAGAGGGTTGCTAGAACCACAGCTTCTTCATTGGTTTCTGAGTAGAGTATTGGGTTTTTTTTGGTAATCCTTACCCAACGATATTTTTCCATTGATTTTTAGAGAGTGGGAGGGAGGGGGAGAAACATCAATCTGAGAGAGACACACGGATTGGTTGTCTCCACCCTGGGATCATGCCTGCAACCAAGGTAACTGCCCTTGACCAGACTCAAACCCAGGACCCTTCAGTCCACAGGTGACCCTCTTCCAAGTACAGACAGTCCTCGGGTTACGTCGGACATCGTTTCGTGGTTACGTCACCATCTCCCATTTATTTATTAAAAATAAAAAGTTCCGTCATTTCGACGTATGTACATATGTGCTTTATGTTTGTTATTATTTATTTACCACAAGTAAAGGTCAGGAATTGTTATCTTTCTTTTAAATTTTTTTTACTGTTTGACTTCATTACTGCTGTGTATGTGTTCCATGTGAGTGACGTAGGTGCTTATGTAGGTGGGTTCCGACTTACAGCAAAAATCGCGTTACGTCACGCCATAGGAACGGATCTCCGATGTAACCCGAGGACCTACTGTACACTATTTTAATGAAGAGGAAACTTGTATCTGGTGACAGCAAGCTGTGATGTGAAACATGTCAGCTGATATGTAAAGAGATGAAATCTGAAACTGATGAAGAATTAAAATCTTTGACAGTCACTAAATTTCTGTAAAACTAGAGGCCCAGTGCACAGATTCATGAACATTGAAAGGAAATTAATTAGAAGGTGGCTGGCAGGCGGGACTGGGAGACAGGCCAGACACGCCCTGGAGCCTACCTCCCATGGTCCCTCCCTGGCCGGCCGCACCTGGGGCGGCGCTGGGACTCAAAGGGTGTCTGCAGAGTAAGTGGGAACCCTCTGGCAGGTGGGGTCGCTCAGCCTGGCCTGCGGGAATCAGGCAACTGGAAAGGAGCCCAGGCTGGCACCAATCCCACTCATCCTGGCCCCGCTCCGGCTCATCCCGGCCCTGCTGCACCTGCCGCCGCCACCGCTCAGTAGTGCACTGTCGTGGAGGTGGGAGAGATTCACTCTGCCACAGTTGCTTTTGCCAGCATCTGGTGCCCCTCAGTCAGCTGAGCGGCACTCCCACTGTGAGAATGCACTGACCACCAGGGGGCAGCTCCTGTGTTGAGCATCTGCTCCTTGGTGGTCAGTGCATGTCATAGAGACCGGCCAAATGGTCGTTCGGCCATTCAGTCACTTAGGCTTTTATATAGATAGATACTCAATCTGGATTCCGGAGGAAGTCAAGAGACTGGAACTTTTTAAACTCAGAGAAATTCCCACTGCTACTCTAGTTCTAGATCAGCCGTGGGCAAACTACGGCCCGGGGGCCGGATCCAGCCCGTTTGAAATGAATAAAACTAAAAAAAAAAAAGACCGTACCCTTTTATGTAATGATGTTTACTTTGAATTTATATTAGTTCACACAAACACTCCATCCATGCTTTTGTTCCGGCCCTCCGGTCCAGTTTAAGAACCCATTGTGGCCCTCGAGTCAAAAAGTTTGCCCACCCCTGTTCTAGATGAACATATAGCTAGACATGACTTAGCATTCAAAAGTGAAAATATGGCATTACATTGCAAGTTAAAGATTATCTAGTATGATATATTTCTACCAAAAGGTGATTTCACAGTTAATGAATTTTTGTATGGATGTAGAATCTAAAGAAGAGAAAAGTGGTCAGGTCTCTCACCCAAAAAACGATACTGTTCAATGAATTCCCTTTCCATCTGATAAATGAATATCAAACAGCAAACATAAGTAATAATAAAACATTCCTCTAGCAGCACCACAACTCCTCCTGTTTTGTTTATATTGAAAAACACGGAAGGCTTCACCACAAAATATTCCAAGATTTCACAGTTATCAACAGTCAACATCAACTTGAATTTCTACTAATACTCATTTTTGGAATTGTCAAATCAATTATCACCTCCCAGTTGCTTCCTCATGCACCACCTCTACAATTTTTGTCTCACAGGAGTGCCTCACCACAGTACTTAATAACATAGTATTTTACAACCTAACTCCCCTTTAAATTAAATGAAAAAGTGATACAATGCCTTTTTGTATCATGATTTCTCAATTCAGAATGTTATAAAAGGACCTCAGTTCTTTGTTAGATCATTTCTATCCCCAGGCACTCTGTGTTCTATGGTGTAATCTCTCAGAAGCCAAGAGAATATCTCCTTTATCAGAAAATCAATGTGAAAACACCCAACGTCTTTCATCCTCTCCTGCAGGGCCCTGAGAAATCATTTGGTCTGGCCCTGCCAAGGCATTAGGGGTGAGTTAATTAAATGTTTGACCACATATAGCAGGCTAATTTTTAAGTTGATAATTTTGTATGGCCTGCGAATGATGTTCTAAATATCCAAATGGCCCTTTGGCAGGAAAAAAGGTTTCCCACCTCTGCTTTAGAAGGTACAAGGAAAAGAAGCTTTAGAAAATCAGGCTGAATTAATAATCAATGAGAGGATTTTACTTCTTTTAAAAAAAACTGATTTTTAGACAGAGGAAAGGGGAGAAGAGGGAGAGAGAGAGAGACATCTATTGTTGCCTCCCACACCCATACTGACTGTGATGGAACCGCAACCTGGGTTTGTGCCCTGATCAGAACCAAACCCTCCACCTTTTGGTGCACAGGACAATGCTCTAACCAACTGAGCCACACTGGTCAGGGCTCAATAAGAGGATTTTTAAACAATCCACATCATCACTAGAAAACTGCATGTTTGTCATACAAATTACTTCCTGTTTTTTAGATGTCTTCATGAGTTCATACCTTTTCCCAAGTATCCCCTTGTTGGTAGATCACTGACCTACAATGTGCATGTGTACAAAAAAAACATGGAGTCAGTTGCTAAAGATGTTGGTTAAAGATGAGGTGATCATATTTCAGAAATGTTTCAAAGTTTTTAAGTCTTCTGAAAAGTAGTCTGGCAGCACAGCAAAGAAAATAAAGAAGTTCCTGGCCCAGTTTCAGAGCTCTGAAACAGAAGCCAAAGAGGAAGAAAATCAAGGCAAGGCTTCTTTCACTTCCAGAAGTCCTTGATGGAAATGAAGGAGTTATTAGAGAAAATAAGAAGTAATCTTAGTTTAAAGAACTCAGAGAATACCTCACGAACTTCATCAACAGTCTGGTGACACAATATCTTCTGCCTCTGTATGAGTTGGTGTACTTCAGTGCTGCTCACACCCTGCTCCATGAATCGCCCTACATGCTCCTCTTACCAATCCTTACTATTAGCTGAAGAACGAAGCTCTGAAAAATGAGGAAAGCTATATATCAAAGATTGCCCCAATAGCTGCACAGTACATAAACTGCACCTGCAAGTGAAGCAGGCTAATCAACGGGTGCATTGAGAAGAAGCCTTAGCAACATTAATAGCTTTTAAAGAAATGGATATAAATTCCACATTCTCAGAAAACAAATACATGTAATTATGCATTCTTAGTTTATTAAAACTATTTCTGAATTAGAATTTTTAAGATATATAAAACCTACCAAATAGAAGAACGATCATGTGGCAAGACTAACATGAAGTGGCAGCGAGAAGGCAAATGAGTGACACCATTTAATTTTTTTAAAAAAGAAACTAGTCATATCTACATACCACTACAGGAGTCTGTTTTGGTCAGAAGATAAACTGTAATTCCCCCATGATGTTTCATCAGAAAAATACATGTGATACCCCATTCGGGTAGATGTCTAGATACCTTTGGGTCACTACTGTTGCTTTCAAAAAATCATTACAAATAATAAGTGACTCTTTCTTAAACATATGTAATATACACATGTAATAAATTCCTTCCCTTAAGAGGGGAAAATGCCATGTTCTAAGAACAATCTTTACCAATAAGATCAATTGATGAAATCATAAAAATTAACATTGCTAAGAAAAATTGTAACTCATACTTAAAAGAGTGATGTCTTTCTCTCACATTAACTGTAAAAGTAATGCATGCCACTCCTCAATTTGATCTATATGCAATCCCAACGAAAATCCTAGGTACCTTTTGTGCTGAAATTGAAAGGTGATCCTAAAATTCATATGGAATTGCAAGGGACCCAGAACAGCCAAGACAATCTTGAAAAAGAAAGTTGGAGGACTCATACTTACTGATTTCAAATTTTACTACAGAACTATAGTATTCAAAACAATCTGGTATTGCCATAAAATCATATATATGGTCAGTTGATTTTCAACAAAGGTACCAAGATATTTCAATGAGGAAAAACTAGTCTTTTCAACAGATGGTACTAAAATATTTGGATAGGCATGTGGAAAGGAATGAAGTTGGACCCTACTTCACACCATATACAGAAATTAACTAAAAATGGATCACAGCCCCCTAAATATAAAAGCTAAAACTATTTTTTTTTAAAGCTCTTTAAAGAAAACATAGGAGCAAATCTGTGACCTTGGCTTCAGTGATGGTTTCTTAGATAGAGCACCAAAAGCAAAAGCAACAAAGGAAAGAAAAGATAAATTAGACTTCAAAATAAAAAACATCAAAATTAAAAACATTTGTGCTTCAAAGGACACTATCAAGAGACTGAAAAGCCCTGGCCCAGTTGGTTGAGCGTCATCCCATGCACCAAGAGATCACTGGTTCAATTCCGGGACAGGGCACATGCCTGTGTTGCAATCCCCAGTAGGGGGTGTGCAAGAGGAAGCCCATCCATGTTTCCCTCATTGATCGTTCTCTCTCTCTCTCTCTCTCCTCTCTCTCTATATATATCTCTCTCCCTCTCTCCCTCCTTCCCTCCCTCCCCCCTTCCCCTCCTCTTTCACTGAAATCAATAAAAAATACATTTTTTAAAAAAAGAGTGAATGACATCCACAGAATGGGAGAAAATATTTGTAAGTCATATATTTCGTAAGAGACTTTTATCTAGAATACATAAAGAACTCTTACAAGTCAACAATTTTCAAAAATCCATTATAAAAATGGACAAAGGATCTGAATAGTTCTCCAAATAAGATACATGAATGGCTAATAATAAGCACATGAAAATACCTTCAACATCATTAGTCATCAGGAATCTGCAAATTAAAACCACAATGAGATACCACTTCATGCCCACTAGATATATTAGTTTAAAAAAAAAAAAAGGAAAATAGCAAGTGTTGGCAAGAATATGGAAAAACTGAAACCCTCATTCATTGCTGCTGGGGATGTGAGTTGATGCTGTTGCTTTGGAAAACAGTTTGTCAGTTCCTCAAACTGTTATACAGAGTTAACATATTACCCACCATTTCCACTCCTAGGTACCTACCCAAGCAAGAGAATGGAAAACATATGTCCATATAAAAACTGGTACCCAAATGTTTATAGCAGCATGACTCAAAACAGACAAAAAGTAGAAAAACTCAAATTTCTATTAACCAATAAATAGGTAAAATAAATATGGTATAACCACAGAATGGATATTACTATTTAGCCATAGAAAAGAAATGACATAACACAACATGAAAGAACATTATACTAAGTGAAAGAAGCCAGTCACAAGATACCAGTCACATGATTCTGTTTACATGAAATGTTCAGAATAGACAAACTCAGGGAGATTAAAAAGTAGATTCGAGGTTGCCAGGAGCTAGGAGGTGGGAGAAATGGGGTGACAGGTATATAGTTTCTATTTGGGGTGATGAAAATGTTCTGGAATTTGACAGTGATTATAGTTGCACAACCTGTGAATGTACTAAGAACAACTGAACTGTTCACCTGAAAGGGTAGGTGGCCAAACCACAAGCATGTAGCACTAAGCAATAACAATGCCTGCTTCTCAATTTCAGTCACAGGAATGATGACACATTAGAAAAATGGAAGTTTGTGATAGATAAGTAGTAACATCATTGTTATCTTTATTTTGCATTCCACTATCTCGGATCAACCTTATCTTAAAGTTCACATATACTTGATTATTATTTTTAAAAAGATTGCTTTTATATTTCCCCTAAATAAATATGCAAACCTTGCTCTAACTTTAATTATTCTGGCTCAAAATCAATCTTAAAGAATTGATTACATCAACAAATTAATGAGGGGAAAAAAGGAACATAATGTGGTTTTTCAGGTGAATTATTCAGCCCCATAAAAAAACTTGCTGCTATTATTTCAGCCTACATATCACTAATAAATTAGAACAGAATTGAATATAGTATCCAACTATTTGAAACCCATCAGAATTATATTAGTACTAGAGGCCCGGTGCACAAAAATTTGTGCACTCGGGGGTCCCTCAGCCCAGTCTATGCCCTCTTGCAATGTGGGACCCCTCAGAGGATGTCCACCCGAGTGGGGACCCTCAACCCATAGAGGTTTGGCCAGCCTGGGTGAGGGGCTAATGGCTGTTTTCAGGCTGGCCACACCCCTTTTAGGGTGGGGGGGTCCCCACTGGGGTGCCTGGCCAGTCTGGGTGAGGGGCTGAGGGCTGTTTTCAGGCTGGCCAAGCACCCTAGCTACATAAGCTCCCAGCCTCTCCTTTTTTTTTTTTTTATTCTGGGATTTATTTACCTTCCATAATTGAAACTTTAAACTTTGCCTTTAGTGGAGGCCTGAGGAAAGCTTGGCTTCCTCCATCGCCAGGGGCAACCCACTCCTGCTCACTCCAGCTCCGTGGCCACCGCTGGCTGAAAGCAGATATCTGGGGTTTGTTTACCTTCTATAATTGAAACTTTGTTGCTTTCAGTGGAGCTCAGAGCCAGGCCGCGGCAGGCGGGAAACCTTGGCTTCCTTCATCACAGGAGCAAGCAAGGCTCCTGCTCGCTCCAGCTCCATGGCTGCCAGCCGCCATCTTGGTTGGGTTAATTTGCATATAGTTGCTCTGATTGGCTGGTGGGCGTGGCTTAAGGTGTAGCAAAAATATGGTCAATTTGCATGTTTGTCTTTTATTAGTATACGATAGTTTACAGTGATCAAAATTTTAATTCTGCAGAGAACATTATTTTACATGAATTCTTACCTGGATCTAAAATTCAAATTCTTTGAAAGCTACTTAAGTGCAGCCACTGTAAAATTGAATATACAATGGGGCCTTGACTTACGAGTGTCCCGACTAACGAGTTTTTTCGAGATATGAGCTGTCTCTCGGCTGATTTTTTGCTTTGAGTTGCAAGCTAAAATTCGGGTTACATATGAGCCAGCTTCAGATACCCCACCGCTAGTTGGCGCAGCGAACGTCACAGTGATTTGACATACGAGTAATCTGAGTTACGAGCTCTGTCACGGAACGAATTAAACTCCTAAGTCAAGGCCACACTGTACTACAATCATATTTTTAAAATATTATTTGCATGTAAAATATGGTATCTAGATAGAAAAAAACAGAAGGAAATACAGAGATGTGACAATTATTGCTTTATTAGAGTGGCCAGATTATGGGTGACTAACTTTTTAAACATTTCCTCATTGGTAGAATCATCTCTGAAAAAAGTAATTTGGCTATCCTATATAATAAAAGGCTAATATGCAAATCGCTGAACAGTGGAATGACTGGTCGCTATGACGTGCACTGACCAGCAGGGGGCAGAAGATGCTCAACGCAGGAGTTGCCCCCTGGTGGTCAGTGCACTCCCACAAGAGGAGCGCTGCTCAGCCAGAAGCCAGGCTCACGGCTAGCAAGTGCAGCAGCAGTGGTGGGAGCCTCTCCCACCTCTGCAGCAGGCAGACATCCCTGGAGGGGTCCTGGACTGTGAGAGGGTGCAGGAACAACCCCCCTCCCCACCCAGTGCACGAATGTTGTGCACCAGGCCTCTAGTATTTAATAACAATGTATTTGCATCAAAATGACTGCATGTAAACAGCTTTCAAATAATTTGAATTTTAGATCCAGATCAGAGTTCATGTAAATTAAGGTTCTCCGCAGAATTAAATTTTCAGATTACCCCAGAGAAATCCTTATCTCATACAGAAAAGTAAAAAACCATGTTGAGTAAAAAGAGGAAGGAGAGAATGCTAGGGTAAAACCACTCAGATCAAGTTTTAAGACATTAAATAATACTATATAAATACATATACAAACAGTAAAAGCATAAACACATGTATAATATAATAAATATAACTTCAAAAATAGAAAGAAATGTTATATGGGGCTCCATTGTATTTGTTTTACTTTTTTTTTTAAATATATTTTATTGATTTTTTACAGAGAGGAAGGAAGAAGGATAGAGAGTTAGAAACATCGATGAGAGAGAAACATCGATCAGCTGCCTCCCACACACCTCCT